CTCTTGATTTATTTGCGGCAATGATGGCGTATCGTTTGCACATCGTCCCCATGATACATTAGCCCGCAACTAATCTAACGACCCTGTTCTTGAGCAAATACGAGCTTTACGTAATGGCCCAAAGTGTTGAGCATACAAGCGATATATTTAGTTCAAATCCGTGTCAGCTACGACGTTACGTTGCTCCACGTGGGCCCTGTTGGTATAATCATGTTAACTGCGGGTGGCCGGTTTGTTCCACCACACTAAATTACATTACTCAGCCCCCAACCCTGGAAATTTTTGTCTAGTCACGCAGGTGAAACAAATTACGCATTTGTATTAGCAAATTGGAGTCTTTTATTTCCACAAATTTAAATGTAAAATGTCCTCAATCTAAACCGACGCCGGAAATTAATATCAGGGGTGTCCCAAGCAAAAAAAAAACGTTTTTCATAATATAGGAGAAGCATTTGAATAATTGCGGCACGTTTCTTCTCACCCTAGCTTTTGACAAGTCTATAAAACACTTGAAGCTGACTAGGGGTGTCTATTGTGCAAATATTCAATGTTTAATGTCTCACGCTCGATAAATTCTCTCTGGCATAGGACAAACCTCGCTATTTTTCGAAACGTTGAAACAAACAGATTTACTTTAAAAGCATTAATTTGAAGTGTCATTCATAACTATATTTTTACAATGGACTTTCTATGTAAATGCACTGTGACGAATTTAATGGCCATGCATTTCATTTGTTTCATTACCAAGAGAATTAGAAGTGCTGGAAGCTCATTTAAATTCAAAATTTTACTATGTGGTAACACTATATCAAGCTCAATGTCTTGTTCAACATGGCAACGGAAATGTGTTTACTTTGTACCGTGGACCATTACTGCAGTTTACTGAACAGTTAATCTAAATATACAAAACTTAACAATATTATTAAAGCTTCCAAATTTATTTTTTTATGCAAACAAGTCTTGTTTCTTGAAAAATCACTTGCGGTTTGAGATAAGGAATATCATTTCAGGCGGAGCGATGACGATGTAGCGGTTAAGACTTTATGAATTTTTCATGAAGTAGGAGCAAGAAAAACAAACAATCTCAAATAATGAGCTTTCCAATAGGATTTTTTGATTTTATAAACATGTATCAATTATTGTCATTTGTACTTTCGAAATGAGTTGCCGTTGGACTGTAGTCGTTAAGTGCCCAGAGGCATTCATTTAATGGATGTTTAGTTTAGCATTAAAATCTGTTATTACAAAATTTAATTAAGAAAATTGTTAATAAAATTTTGCCTCAAGATAATTTAGATTATTTTACGACCTGATTTTTAATTTAGTGTTTATAGATGAATCTTGTACGACTAAATTCGACTCAAAGTATTTGATCTTTTAATTAAAATAGTGAAGCAGAGGAAGCGTTTTTTGATTTTATTGATTTTTTAGTGCACTACTATTTTAGCAGTAGTTGGTTGTTTGGAGGATTTTTGGTATCAAAGATTGTATTAAAATCTGTGGCTAATAAGCCACATAATATAAATAACTAATTGGTTTAATGCTGGCGCATTTGGAACTTTGTTAATATCGCGCTAAACCATAGAAAACTAAAACATCTGTTGCAAAGTTTTAATGCAGTTTGCATTTTTGCAAGACACTAGTACTAGCAGCTATACACATCTTGCAATAAATTCATTTAGTGTAATTGGATTAGGTTTTAAAAAGTTGAAAAACTTGCAAAATCCATTTCGCAAACATTAAAGTTGTTATTACATGGTCCATACGGCCTAATATAAACATGCCGAATCAACTTGGCTAATTACCATATCAGATCTCGCAGTTGGGCTGCAATTTATAGAGCAAACCTATCCATTACATGACAACATCTATTATTTCTATGCGTGACAGAATTGTGGAGGTTTTCCCCAATAGCTCGACATACATCCCATTTTAAACAGCACGTTTGATGTGATATATTACCTTAGTTTATTAGCTGTGAAATCGTACTGTGGCGAATGCAAATGAATTACACATCCTCGACGGCGGATTCAACGAATTTTTTTTTGCAGGAATGCAGTACGTTTTAATTAACATTTCAAAAGTATTTCAATTAAAAATTCCCGTGTTATGTAATTTCGACAGTTTTTTATCATTTTTGCTGTGATTTCTTCGTGTTTGGAATGGAGATATTTCAACGCCAAGCTTCGGGATGATTTATGAAATGAGAAATGTTAAAATAAACACGGAGGAGCATATTTTGTGTTGAGTCTGTGTACCTGCTGCTCGAACATCAGCTCAATTTGTCGTTGGAATGAAAGATGCTTTTTATCGACAATTTCTATTAAAACTTTTATTTATAACAGCTTAATCAAATATTTTATGATAAATAGGACAATTCATTATTTAATAAAAAACTAGAGTAAAAAAATAAATTCAAGCTTTGAAATAAAACACAAATAAATTCATTATAAGACATTTTAAAATGTATGCGATCAAGAAATAAAATTCAAGTTAATTATCAACGATTTCAATAAATTATTTAGATCGAATAAGTTTCAACTCAGTGTATTTTAAATATTTGAACACATTGCTAGTGGAAATTTTATTTCCGTTGAAATAAACAGTATCGACGTAAAGTTTATCTTGAATTCTCAAATTTTCATGTTTCAAGTAGTTTACAGCAAGCATGATTTGCAACTTCTTATCTTTCTGTCACATTTCGCGAGAATAAAAAGTTGCCAAAGTTAGGTTTGAGAGGAGAAATTCAAATATCTACATCTAATTTTAATGAAGTTGTGAACTGAGAATCGTAAAAAATCGCACGTTTTAGCAGAATATTTTTATAAATTTCAAAAAAGATGAAGTTATATTGCTCTTCCATAACTGGTTGTTTTTGTTTAACTTGATACATTTTTTAATGTGTTTTTCTTAAATATAATTAAGGGACAATGTTTTAAATAGACAGCGGCTTTTAAGCTTCGATTTATTGTTAATGTCTTTAGAGAAGTCGCTGTAATTACTGAGGAAAAACTTCCTCAATTTTTCCCTAATGTTACTTCTTTGAATATCCATCAAGAGAGTGGTTTGTAATCGACAGAAGCTTGATAAATGGGAGTTAATTAAGAGTTTTACGTCAAGCCATTTGTGAATATTTTTAAGACGTTGCTTTAGAAAATGAGTCTTTTGCATTAGTTTAAAAATCAAATTGTGTCGAAACATTAGGAACTATTTCTAGGCTAATTAATCATTTAGTGTCTTATCCAAGAAAGTTCTTAAAAGGATGACTTCAGTTCGTATAACTTGAACACATAATTAATATCTAAATCATATAACTCAGTAAATTAGTTAGGGAATTTTCTTAATCTTTGCTTGCCGCAAACATAATCGTCGCGGATGTGGCAAAAGTAATTATAACTTTGCGACGTTCGTTTCAATGACTTCATCATTGTTTCAAACTATGAGTGAATAAAGATGGCAGCCTCACCTGCCCTTTTCTGGTTTAAACAATAACCAACTTTATTTTGCTAAGCACGGAATTTGATGTAATAAACCGTGTTTTGTAATTTCTTACCGTCTAATTAAAAAAAAGCAATTCGGAGTTTTTTAATTAAAGTAAATTCCGCGACTTCCCACCTACACTTAACTTCAAAATTAATTAATTTCAGAGAACACAACTTACGATTATCACATCAAAGCCCCAATTAAATAATCCCGCTTCGCCACAATTATTGTTACACGGTGAAACTGAACACCTTATGTTTATAACCACTTATGTGTTTAGTCAAACATTAGGCAAACGCTGTTTGAATTCTAATTGACTCAAAAGCTTTCGAACTCTTTTTCAGATTGAGTTGATTTCTGACTGCAACATATGGTTTCGTTCGGCAAATCTCGAGCGGATTCCGTAAGGATTTAATACATAACTCAATACCTAAGGGGCGCGATGTATTGAATATTGTTGTTGGAATCTGATCCTTGAGCTTGCAATTTTGTGGAAAAGGAATTGTAATTCTTTCTTTGGGTTAGTAAATGTTATACGGATACGAGAAACTCTCTACAACAGGATTTTGCTATCATATTTGAAAAAATACTTTGTTTTTGTTTAACTAAATTTTATTTAAATATTTAATTTCCGATGTTACGTAAAATGTTATCGAAAACATTGTTTTCCTGGTTGAAAATCTGAATAATTCAACAATTCCAATGTCAATCATATTGTGTTTTTGTTTAAAAATAGTTATATTTATATTCAATATAATACAGAACAAACAATGTGCCAAAGTATAGTGTTAATAATTAAGTATTTGTAATTGTATTTTGTAAAAACGAAATATGTTTTGTTACTTTATGATTTATTTTTGAAAAGTACGAGTATAAATTCTGAAGGTTCTTTTTTAGAAATATTTATTTTGTATTGTTAGAAGCTTTACAGTTTTTATTTAATAATAATAATGATTAATAATAAATAACCACCATTTTCTAACAAAAAATTTAATACAAATAACAGTGGTCAAAAGTTGACGTACAAATGCTTTATGGCCTTTCATTTTTTAGAATTAACTTAATTTTGTTAGAAAATTTATCATCAGTTGTTACAAAAATAATGAAATGTGTTTATAAAACATGTCCGCCATTAAAATTTTAAACTAATTTTTTGGAACGGTTTACAAAAAAAATATGCAAATAATGTTACTCTGATGATAAAACGGAAATTCTTTATTTCAATTCGGCAAATTTAGGACCGATAATAATACGTCTGTATACGAGTATAAAAATCTTATACGAGACAAATATCGCTGAGCTATAAACTGTGTGATACTCTGACAACACCGAACTTAAGCGGAAGTATAGTTTGTACCATGTTTATTTTTATATCTAATGTCTCCAACTTTTTACTCCATGAAAATTTTTAAGTAAAACATTGAAAGTGTATAGCTGGAAAGTAGAATAATTTGAGCTTTTTGGGATTTATTTTCCACGTATGAGCCTGTGGTCATGAAAACGTAACTTTGTTTCAGACGCCCAAAACTACCAAGGCCTCAATGACTTGGACATCCTCCCCGAGGGCAAGCCCCCAAGTTTTGTAACTCCTGGCCAAACTTACCGCATAGCCGCCGGAAGCACTGTGGTTTTACCTTGCAGGATAACTCCGGCAGGTGATTATTTTATTTAAATGCTAATGGAGTTACTTGTTCTTATTTTACTTAGGTGCCTACGTGCTTGCTTGGAAACGAGGAATTGCAGTTTTGACAGCCGGACCGGTGAAAGTCACCCCTGATCCGAGGGTGAGACTACTACCGTCCCCGGTGAGCACTTCGAGCTTAACCGGAATACCGGAACTATCCGGAGAAGGATATAGTTTGGAATTGAAGGATGTTAGACCGCAAGATGCCGGAGATTATGTGTGCCAAATTGGAACAATGGAGCCGAGAGAAATTACACATACTTTGGAGATATTGGGTGAGGACTTGTTATCTATAGTTTGACAGGAAACAGCAGGTTTTCCTTGGAGAACTTTTATGAGTTTCTATTGTGACCTGTTTTGATTTTTGATGATCGATAGATGAGTAATGGATAATGTTGAATTTACATTTGAAATCAATTTTGTTGTATAATCTCTTTACATCAACAATAGATACCATCTAAATTATATAATTAAATATTCATTTAGAAGACATCTACATGTTGCATATCATATAAATTACTTATTTGACGGGTTGCCACCTAATATTTACATAAAATAGATTGCAATAGTTGCACTTCTTTAATTTTATTAGCTACAAAATTGTTACCGCAGCGACAAACACAAACTGGAAATTGAGTTTTTTCTAATGTGTTATTTGACTCAAAATAATGAAACTCTAACTTGGTTATTTTTAGTTGCAATTAGACTTACTGCGTAATTTGGTGTAGAAATAAACACATTAGTCTTTGAAAAGTGTTTTGAAGTTTATTCAAAAAAAGAACCTTGTTGGGACTGGTTAGAATAGTTTTATAAGAGGGAGGGAATAATTTCAAGCAGACGTCACTAGGTTTTATAATTAGTTGTTATTATTTAGTCGATTTTGTCATGTAATAATATTTTACGCAAAGATGAATGAACAAACTGTTGTTGCTAATCTGATTTAGATTGTGATTTATTAAAATATATGAGTCAGTTATTTACAATAATATTAATTGTAAATATAATAGACTAGTTTGATTTTCCAAATGAATTCACAATTTAGATGTGAAAATATTTTATTTGATAGATGATTCATAAATTATAAGTAAATACACCTATTTAGTGGTGAAAATTTATTAGTTGATTATATTGCAACTCGAAACAAGATAAGCTTTACACGTAAGAATGGGGCCTTTTCTCGTATTCTCTCTGTGTTGCTGTAATTTTTTCTGCTTTAATTTATTAATGTGGCTGCATTCGCTGCATACAGGTCATCTTATCATAAATAAACATTTTAATATTAAAACGATAACAAGTTAAATTTTACGTTTTGTCTGATGTAACTGACTTAGAAAATACAGGTAATTTAATTCAATTAGCGTGTTCATTAATTATAGCTGTAGTAAATGAAGTTTGGGTAATTTTATCTAAACAGAAATTAGAATCTACCGTTCACAACTCTGTTATTTATTTTAATTATCACACTTTTCTGAAAGAGTTTCTTAAATTATAGTAATTAGGAACATTGTGGAATGACTAATTAAATGTGTAATAATTGATAGGTAATTATCCTTCGTCTGTGCTCATTTATTTAATCATCACCGTCGTATTTTTAGCGATTAAATTAATAGGAATATTTTTAATTATTTATCAACTTATTTTCTTTGTATAAATGTGATCACTAACAACAGAAGCAGCATAAAAAAGTAGTCCATGAAAAAATAATAACACACTTTTATTGATCGTTATTGTTTTTAAGAATCTTTGTTTTTTTATTTAAAATAAAAGCCCAATAATCTTAATTGAAGATCTTGCCTAGGCTTGTTATTAATGAAAGATTTACACAGTGCAGCTATTATCAAGATACATAATGGCGAAATCACTACAACCTAATCCTGCTTCTCTAAAGATATCTTGCCAATATAGTAGTATTATCCCAAGCTTATACAGGCTGCGCCAGAACTCGCGCCCCAGACAAAAATGCCATGTAAGGTAATATACCGGAAACATAGGAAAAATGTTAAAAAAATTCTATCAAAGAAAATTTTGAAATTATGAGAGTTTAAATTTTGCTCTTTGACTTTGACTATTTATTTCTGCTGAAAAAATAATTTTTCAAGTTTTTTGCTATAGGCTGTTAGAAGAGGAAACAAGGAAGCTGAAGCCTAAATTGTACCTTCACTTAATGTTATTCGTCGCTTTTATTGACAAAATTTTTGTACCTTAGCCAAATAATTATAAAAAAACATATACAAGATCATCAGTACAGTTAAATAGGAGAAAATCAGCAAAGTAACTGACCTCTGGTGGCAGACAAGAAACTATCCAAATGGGGAAAACATATTTTGACAATATCAGTTTTCCATTTTTGTCAATTTGACAAGTCAATGTAAATATGAGTACTTACAAGCATTTTTGCTTCGTATTTCATTGCAAAGACTATGTGAGTGGGTCTATTTAGATGCATTACTTTCTAAAATGGAGATTTCAACTTATGTCATTATTATTTTAAACAAAAAAATTGTCCTACAAAACGTTAGGTGACTGATTAAATAAAACTTTTAAATTGTCACAAAATTCCGCCAAAAAGTCGCCGCGCCGTCGTCTAAGCTACGCGCCAAAATTAGGAAAAGAGACATCTGACACATCAACTGTAAACTATTCAAATGGGGAAAACATTGATGTTTTAGTACCATCTATTGGCAGCTGATTCTCTCCTATAGACATAAAAAAATGTCAAATGTCAAAAAATAAATGTCATTGACGATAGAATTTTTTAAACATTTTTTCCATGTTCCTGGTATCTTATCTTGAATTTTTTTTCTAGGGCGCGTGTTCTGACACACCCTGTATATCTTTGAGTTTCATCCGATGAAGAGATTAACTTGTGATGGTCAAGGATTACAAATACCGCTTTGCAATCAAATTAGTACTTGTGTCAAACTTTTGTAAAGTTGTAATAAACAGTAGATTCTATTTACAATCAAATCCATATGTTTTCTAGCTAAACAAAATAGAATCCCAAAGAATTGAAATGTTAACGAACTGTGTAATTATAGTTTGTTTATGACAGCTTCCATTATCCTACTTTTGTTAATTAATAATACCATTATTCGGAATTTTGTGAAATTATAATTTAACGGATTATTATTATGTTATTCAACTTGCTACTACACTGGCCGCCAAAATTAACCGGACACGTAAAATTTTGCAATTGTTCACATTGCAATATTTTTGTTATTCTTTGTCGGATTTCGACGAATTTTTGTTCGGCTTAAAGAACGAACGTTGCAGAACATTGTAATTAAGTCAATAACGTTTCTAGTTTTGTCTTGTAAATGTTAAATTTAAAAGACGAAAGCAGTGTTTTTTACTGTTTTTTATATTGAGCTGTGGTGTGCGGCAGAGACAAACTTAAGTTTTTTCTGATTTCAGATTATTACCCGTTCTTTTCAGAATGACGACTAATTTGTTCCAATATTTTATCTTCTGGTGCCTCAGAGATACAAAGCATTAAAAAAGACGTTGCTTTTCTAATGTTACTAAATAGACTACATAAAAAGTTAGTTAAACCGAAAATAATTGCTTATATCACCAAAAGAGCTCAATTACGTCTTTAAACATAAAAAATCTAAAAAACTTGGAACTTCAAAGGATTACAACAAGTAAAACGGTTATTTATTGGAAGCTTCCATGCCCCTATTGTGACGTTTTGGCCCATTCTGCCTACTTAATACGAACATTTATTGAAATTGTAAATGTAATGCTTTTTTGCAGGTTTATATCCCTCATGCATCAAGAATTAAAATTATGGAAAATGTAGTAGATAATTCAGAAAAGAATGGGCAATAATCTGAAATCAGTAAAAACTTGAGTTTAAACCTTAAGTTTATCACATTTAAAAGACAAAACTAGATATGTCATTGAATTAAATTACAATGATCTACAAAGTTTTTTCTTCAAGCCTAACAAAAATGTGAAAAATCGCAAAATTTTAGTAATCCGGTTAATTTTGGCGGCCAGTGTATTTTTGAACATTATTGTTATAACAATGATCAATTCTAAACCAAGTTGTTGACTAATAAGTAATTCATTAATATATAACTAAAAAATATTAATTTTAAACGACATTTTTAGAATAATATTGAAATTCCTCTTTGTTTTGGTTTTAGTTGTAGCAAAGATATACATAATACATGAGCAACTCAACCTCCATTTGCTTTGTGGAAATATAGTTGTCAAACCTAAAACAGTAGAAATAGCTTTATTATTGTGTTATTTCAAGTCAGATACCACACTTCGTTGCCTAATATATCTTAATTTTTTTAATTAAATCTGAGAAAAAATAACATTTCCTTTCCGGCAAACGAACCCGAAATAATCCTCGTCCTATATGTTTTTGCAGCTGTTTATGAATCACATTTTCTTTTTCAGTGCCTCCCCGAATCCATTACGTTTCCCACACCGGTCCACTGGAAGTCCTCCAGGGTGCTACAGTGAAAATGGAGTGTCGAGCATCAGGCAATCCCGTGCCAACCGTCGCCTGGACTAGAAAGAACAACGTTTTGCCAAGCGGCGAACGTTCGGTTTCCGGTTTATCTCTCGTAATTCAGCGCGCGGACCGCCATTCCGCAGGCCAATATCAATGCTCGGCTGATAACGGCGTCGGCCAACCTGACACACGTCATATCACCCTTAACGTTTTATGTAAGTATAGCCGGTGTTTTGTTGTAAAAAGATGAGACTGGCCTATTGAGATAAAAATGCGACCTCGTTTATTTCTCTGGACAGAATAACACTATCGTTTCGTTACTCAAAAAATTACGTGTTAAAGCTATTGTGACAGAATATTGGATTTGTGACACTGGACACTGCAAAAATTACACTTCCGGTTAAAAACCGGTCAATCACGCGCCATTCTCACCATTGTTACTGACACACAAGTTTAGTATGTGCAATATTTGTTTTACATTTTATACTTTTTTAAATTTTAATTATACAGTTATCAGTTGCAATCCCTAACTGATTGGTTGCGATATACCCCGAATGTGAAAACAACGTTTTTTACAATTCAGTTTGTTACTGAATAAATAATGAAACAGCAAATATGATATTGTTATTACTGTTATTAGTGTACGAGCGAAAATCCTATCGTATTTCCTAAAGCGTATTTTTTATCAAAAAAGTTTCTTCTAGACTGTACAAATCTAATAATGATCAATAAGTGGGTGGTCGTTAAGAAATGGTACGTTGTCAATTGGGTGTTACTATATTACAGTTGATTCTTTTTATGGAAGTTTGTCTTTATAATGCACAAACGACTTTTACTAAAAATTCAAGTTTTTTTACAATAGGCGTGTGATGGAATAATAACATTCTAGAAGTAATTAAAATAGAACTGAAGATTTTTAAACTGCAAGAAAAACTAAGTGTAAAGTGCCAAAAAAGCTAACGTTAGCAGAAAATGCCAATAGAAAGGCGGGTACTGCAAAAAAGACAGTTGTAAGTTTTTAATTAAAAAAGTAACGGTTAGCGTTAATTTTACTTTAATTTTAGGTAGGTATAAAAAATTACATATTAGAAATATTGCTTAGTGTTTGACAAGTTATAAAAATACGTAGTTGTGCGAGTGAATCGAATTTGATATTGTTTTTAGTACTAGACTAATTGTGAAATCCTACTGTAAAACAAACTTGATGAGGGTCTTATGAATAAACACGAGTTAATTTTAAGTCCGGTTACAGGTGTTAAATTTAGTTATATAAACTTTTAGACAACCAGAGTTTGCTTTTGGCATAAATTGAGTTTTGCGTAAGACCACTTTGAAACTTTGAATGTACAAGATGAAATCATTATCATTGGTACTATTGCCAAAGTTTTATTAATATTACAAGAGGTGAGACAAAAATTGGTAACTTGATTACGTCTTTAAAAAAAACAAAATTTTTACAAATCTCAAACTAGCGTGATATTCAAAAAGAACCGCCTGTCTTTGAAAATATTTTTTGAAGCATGAGAACCTTTTAAGCTGTTTATTTATGTAAAATGCGCCAAGTTGTATACTTATATTAAGAAAGTTTGTCAAAGAGGAAACTCTTCTAGCATTTCCTTGGTTTTTAAGATATCTCTCAAAGAACTCTTTAAACATTTTTCAACTTTACCACATTTATCCGACAAGACTCATGTTACAATTATGTAGTGCATGTACATTTATTTACAAAATTTAGATATGTTTTCCTTCAAATTTTAATGTTACATTGTTGAAATAAAAGTCAGGTGTTCTAATATTAAATTTATTACGACATAAAATAGTCTAGTGGTTCATAAAACTTGTGTCATAATAATTATACATTTAGTTCAATTTGATGGTCTCAATAAAAGTTTGAATTATTTACTGCTTTGTAGAGTATAAACAAACGTGAATTTTTTTAGTAAAGTAATTGTATTTTATACAAATTTGTAAAACAAAATAAAAAAGTAACAGATTTTTATTGCGTGTTTCGCTTTATGTTTTCAGAAAAAACTAAAACAAAGTAATAAAAACAGTAATTCAAAACAACATTCAACATGTTTTTTTCTTTGCAATATCAAGCTTTTTGATATTGTTTAACATTTGGAGTTCCTCGGTAATTTAATATGAAATTTACTTCCAACTCACACAAAATAAAATTGCGTTACACAAGATTGTAGCAAACTTTGAAACAAGTACAAATAGCAGTACAACTTTTGCTTTGATATTTGTTAAATGCAATTATTTAAATCACTTATTTTTTGTTCGCCATTTCTTTTATTTTAAAATCCGAGCTTGATTACGATTCAAAGTTAAATTATTGCTCGAAATTCAAGTCTTGTAATACAAGACAAGCAATACTTGTTTCAGAGATAATCGTGTGTAGGATTCAAATCCGTCATAAAGTTGGATAAGGTGTACGAGACGTTGCGACGTGACGAAATTCCCTTGCTAACTGGAAGCATTGTTAGTTCAGCTCGAAAATAGAAACTTTATATACGGGATCAATACTTTCTGGATTTTTCTATTTTCATCCTATTACGTTTAACCGTAAACACAGCTTTGCGTTTTCCCGGCGCATCCACCAAAATTATATTATTACTAGGAAGCATTAAGTGAAAAAACGAAATTATCAAAGCTTTCGAATGAAACAGTTTGAACATTTGGAATGTTTCGAAAGAAAATACTGTTAAACAGTGGAGGTTCTTGAACCTCATTTCGCTTTATTAAGGTTCGGGGACCTCGCACTTTAAGAGCTTACACCTAGGAGTAGAACAAGGTATTGTAAATCACGCGGTTTTAGGTTGCTCGCTATGCGTTAGAGCATTACATGTCTTAACGCTGCTTAGATTAGCAATGACAAAGTTTTCTCTGTCGTCGACTAATCCGCGTGTTAGTTGAACAAACTCTACCAAAAACTTACGCGCTAACTGGATTAGCAAACAGGACCGGCAAATATAATTTAATTGCTTTCTATGAAAATAAGTGGCTGAAACAATAAGCCAACATTTAGCTTTCTTAACATTTTAGAAGCGTTGTTTTCAAAATAATAGATTTTTAGAATGTAAAATGTGGAAATATTGGAAAGCGCACATTTCTTACATTTTCAATTCACTCACCACCGCTCAAAAATATCTCTCCACTCTTCTCATTTCATGTTAGTGAAAATGTTGCAAGAGAAGGTCGCATACAATTTGAAATAAAATTCAATTTATGTTTGCATAACTAAATTGTGTTACATTTGACAACAATGATGAAAAAGTCTCAATTTGAACAGATTGTTTCAACCTTGGCATGTTTTTACTGTTGATACTCTTCTCTTACAGACGGACCGGAAGTGGAAACTGAAAGAGCGACTGTACACACGGGAATTGGACTTGAAGCACAGTTGGTGTGTATAGTTCATGCAGAACCAGCTCCACAGGTAACTTATTTCAAATATTTAGTGTTAACGCCGATGTTATTGCATTTTACGTGCTTTACTTTTCGAGAACTAGAACTGAATTTTTAATCCCACGATATCAGCGCTTTTTCTGAAGACGGAACTGGGAGAAAAGTAAACACAAAGACAACGTGACCTGTTTTCATTAGAGTGCTTTTAACGAAGAACCGAGTATTACAAAAATAATATTTTTAATTGCAGCGCTATCAAAATATGAAGCTTTAATTCCAAAAAATTCAAATTAAAAATTATAGTAATCGTAGCTTAGAGCGAGTTCTCCAATTAAACTTACACAGTTAGTTTTTATGAGGTCATCAGGATTAATTGAAATATTCCAGGCAATATTGTATAACTGCAGTTTGCTCTCAAGAACTTCGAACGTAACAACTTAAGGGAATTGAAATGTCTCGTGGGATGTCTTAATGAATCGATTGGCCGAATAGCGGTCGTTAAGGGTAATGGATTTTTTACGTAACTGCCCCTTTGATTAAGAATAATAATTACAATTTTATTTTAACAAAAGGTATTTGAGAATTTATTGCGTTTGTGTTTAACAAATCTTAAAAAGTTTTTATTATTATTTCACTTCTGAGAGATAAAAATAAAGAAACATTTCAAGAACAAGACGATTTACTCTATCTTATTTTATGATTTTTATTGTGGAATAAATATTTTTTACTGTTTTTGATACTTCGCCTTCTCACATTTTGCTTGATATGCCGAAAAGTTGCGAAATAACAATAGCAGGCCAGTAAATATATGAATAAAATTCTTAGTTTGTTTACTGTATAAAAAACTTCATAAAATTTTTATAGACTCGCTTGAAAATCACTTGTTTTCCTCTCGTTTCAATTGTTACCATTTGATCATATTTTTCTCGTTTGCTTTGTATTTACATTTTACTTTTTGGCACAAAAACCCAACGAGAAGCTAATCAGCGAGCCGTTTGATGCCGTCAAGCTTTAGCATTAAGTTGTAATTGCCGCTTCCTCATTAAATTAATTTGTGCTAATAAGACGCTCGCGTATAATTTTCACGGTATGGTTGGTTGTAAAGTGATAAATTTGATTCAAAATTTCACTTTGATATAACATTTTTTATGCAAGATACGGATCATGTCAGTTTTTAGATCATATCAGATGATTCGTTTGCAAAATATGGAAAGCTTCCTTTTGCATGAAGAGATTTATTTTATTCAGCCACATTGATGCTAGTCGGGAGGATGTAAAACAGTTCAAAACTCGGATAAAGCGATGTTTGCGGTGGCTGGAAATTAATGCTGAAACCTTCATTTAAGACCATCAAATAATGGAGTTATTATGAACAAGAATAATTTTCTTGTGTGGAGAATTTTTTCAATGTGGGAGTTACTTGGGAAAATTGTATTTTCGTGGAAATATTTTATGCGTTGTGGAAATATCGATGCTTAAACTTGTTTTTGAGTTATTCAGGACGTGTCAATATTTCTTTTCAAAGCATATAACAGTTTTGACTTTTTCTCTCTCATCGCATTTGAAGCCATTATGTGAAAGACAAGATGTATACATGAGGAAGTTATATCAAAAATGAATAAATGTTTAGTTGATATCTCGTTAATTTTTAACACCTATGTAATCGATTGGAAATTTTCTCTTTAACGAGTTAAAATTTTTCTTTTCTGTTCAAAGCAATATCTTAAAGTTTAAAATTTATGTTCTCTACGAATACGAAGTGTTCTTGCAACTTTTGTATTAAATTATGTTTTGCTAATTGATTTTTTTAGTAAAAAATACATATATGCAATAAACCTTTATAAATTATAATCTTCACTCACGAGCACTTTAGAAAATTGTTCCTTCCAATTTGGTAAAGTCGATTATCGCACATCCGTTTTTACTTTCTTATTTTTCTTAAAGTTAATACCACTCATCCATCAAAGTAGTGTACTTATATGGTTGCATTTATCAAAGCCAACAATAGCGTTGTCTTCATTGAGTTTGCCAATTCAGCAGAATAAATTTCAGTAAAATGCTATTACATATAAAAGGAAAGAAGTCAAAGAGAATCGTATCTGTAAGGAACAATCAAATTACGTAATATTAAAGTTGACTTCACCGAAATATTTAAAAGATTTATTTTGTAAGTCGGGATGCTATATTAGTGAATATTTTCTCAAAATTGGCTTGTTTACAAATGAAATAAGTTGTAAGTATGAAATATTGTTACTGTGGAAGCTGGCTAAATTGTGTTTCCCGGAAACTACCAGAAATTTTAAAACACTGTTTTTGTAGGCTGACGTAGGCGTAGGTATAGTATTATTATTTTAGAAACAGCCGATTTCTGAATCTAGAAATAACTTTTTTGTAGTATCAGAATTTCTAACTGACTTAATTTGATTTAATTTAATAATAATTTTTTGTTTTTATAGAGGACAAATACCATTTAAGTTTAGAAACTTTTTTTTACTCTCGAAAAAGTTTTCTGCATAATTGAGAATATATTTAGACAAATTACCAAATTATAATTTAAAAATAATACAAAGCAAACTAGTAATTATAATAATTAATGACATAAAATTTAATATCATATTTAATATCATATTTTTACCTAAAAACAGTTTATTTTTAATTGCTTAAAAGTTAAAAGTATTTTATTTTACGTTTGTCTGCAGTTGCATTTTTGCATATAATAATTTTAATTATTTGAAATTGTAAACTGGCGCAAAATCCGTCGCAATATTTGCCATTTCTGGTAAAATTACACGTTTGCTGCAAACAAAAAGGTTTAAAACAAGTCAATCGATTTAAATTAGTTTAAGAGTGGTTTGCTCAATTTTGTTTTTATCCCTAATTTTTAAGCTAATTTTTTAGAGTGGAATTGAGTGAATTGCTGGTATTGTTAAATGATGTACTCCGAGTTTCCAGAAGTTATATTATTAAAAAGTCTACATTTTTAAAAACACAATACCTACATTTTTTGTTGTTGTATTTTTAAAGGAAATCGGATATAATAATATAAACATAAAAAAATGTTCAGCTACAAGTAAATAAATCAATATTTAGATTTTTATTTTAAGGTTTTTTGAGGTAGTTAAAGTAAATGTTTTAAAATAAAATTTATGTAAAATTCGAATGAAATGTTAACAAAATATTTTTTTGTTTTGTGATAAAAATCGTGGACGCGCCTGGATAACTTGGTTAAAAATAAACATATCTTTGTTTAGAGTTACCTTAGTTTAAACAAAATAAACTAAAAGAGCACATTTATTTTTATGAAATTTTGCATATACATAATATACAGTCAGCAGCAAAATTATGGAATATTTAATAAAACTGAAAACATTTTGTTTTGATGAAAATGCTCAAGCAGGTCATTTTTTTAAGAGTAATAACAAAATATTCAACTTGATATTAAACAACAAAAAAATATTTCTTGTTTTTTTTTTTGATATTGTTACTTTTTGAAAGTGTTTTTTATGAAAACTTCATGTAATTTTTAATATTTTGGTGTTGTCATTTTGACAATTAAAATATTTTCCGAATTGGCTAAAAAATTAGTGGTTTCTATTTAAACTATGTCGATGATGTCATTACTCAAATCAAGTTGAAAATTGTGTTTTTTAAAAAGAAAATTGATCTGTTCCGGCATTTTTGCCAAAACAAAATAGTTTCAGTTTAATAAGATTATTCCATAATTTTGCTGCTTACTGTATATTTATTTTTATAAATAAATAAAATTCATATTGGTGTTTCCATGTAGCCGATTCCTTACAGTTTTTAAATTTGAATGCAAACGGATGTTGATTTTCTCAACGAGATAAAAAGCTCTTACTGGTACGTTCAACAGCGCTGCAGTTGCATTCGAATTTCGCTTGGGTATGTTCTGTGGTAATTAACGTCGAACCTAGTGGACGTAAATCAAACGGTGCGCCCGTAGCGTAATTGAGTTTTCACGTTAGATGTTTTCTTTGCAGGTGCTTTGGTTTAAGGATACGGCCCAACTGGGTACCACGGAACAACATGCAGCGCACGCAAGAGGCAATAGATACACCCTCGTTATTCGCAACGTCACTTCGGCGGACTTTGGAAACTACAGGTTTGAAACTAGTTTCCGACTTGAACTACTCGAGCACTTTGATAATTTAATACTTTAAGTACGAGGTCGCTGAAGTGGATTAGTGGAGGGCCAAGTTAACGCAACATTAGCGACGGTTTTTATTTCGCGGAATTTGCAATGCAAATGGATCTAATAATCTTATTTAAATTTATTTTAACTTGATTTAAAAAATATGTGTTACTTTATTGTTCGTTAACCTTCTTATCTTCATTTTAATGAAACATCAAGAAATTCGTTATCGATCGCTAATTATCTGATTGAGCGAACGCGAACAATGGAAAAAATTAAAACTTTGTTTCCCGTCTGTTTCACTGATATAATTAACTTCTTTTAGATTATAAGAGTTTTTCCGTTTGATTTCAGTTGTGTTGCAAGCAATTCGCATGGAAAAGGCCGCGGACAACTTACTTTAACTGGAACTGCAGGATTGGCAGTTTTTGACTCGCCACCTCTTAGCACCGAAAAAGATTCATATAACGTGTCTTGGTCGGTCAATAGCCATGCTGCCATCACCGAATACCGACTGTTTTATAGACAGCAACCCCACCATCATCACGGCCACCATGCCGAAATGTACAACAGTACTAAATTTACTTACCGCAACGACTGGAACAGTGTTGTTCTTCCTGGTGCTGGTGTTGTCAACCTCCAATTTCCGTTACCTCCACCTTATCCAGGGGTCACTCGTCAACGAATGTTTTACCTGATCAAGTCTTTACAGCCATCTACTACCTATGAAGCAAGAGTTCAAGCAAAGAATCAGCATGGATGGAACAAGTTGTCGCCTATTTTCCACTTTACAACTAGATCAATCGGTATATATATTTTTTTCATTTTTACGAACTACTGTTTAAATAATTTTGTTCCAGAAATGGAAAACATGGTAGAACCATCCGCCCAACCGGCAGTCTACGGAGTGAGCCAACAAGGAATGGCCCCTTTCAGCAGTGGCGTTCGTGAACAGTTCACTTCAGCAAGTGTGATTCTTGTGTTAGTGTTGAAGTTCTTTTAAAACAAAACTGAAAAGATGTGAATTAAACCAAAGTGTTGATACCACGTACAATATTGTGATAACTGTGGATAAAAGGTGAGAATTGACAACTCGACTATGTTTTTTCATGTGAAAAGTGACATTTTTTTCCGATGTTGCTTATTAAGTGTATAGATATTAAATTTGTTCATCTTAAGGTAATTCACGTTTAGATAGAAGAGCGAAACATTTTATTATTTATAGGCTTTTAAAGACACTTTGTTTCAAATGAGAGGGTTCAGTCGTTCACTACGTGTACTAGTATATCATAGAACTAACTTTATATCGTTATCACTCTCCATGGTGTCTTTTCCCTATTGTTGTTTACGAGTGTTTTTCGTTGGAATCAATTGTCAATGTAAATTCGGTTTTACATAATTTTTCACTGCTTTTTTGCTTGCACATATACGTAAATGTCATTGTATATAAAGACTGAACTATTTTTATAAGAGTGCAATAAGATGTATTAGTTCTATAACTGTTTCAATGATAACGATGTCAAATAATATGTAAATAAAGCTTAAATAGTACACCGAGAGCATTTTATTAAAACCTTAAAAAGTAGGTATCAGTTAACTCGAATTGGAGATGCAGAAGACTATCAATACAACAGTAAGTATTTGTTTCTTTCTCAGTCTTGGCCAAAAACAAATTTTATTCCGTACATTAGTAGTTACCAATTATTATATACATACATATATTATTTATATTATTTTTTTAGTTTCAGTATTGGAATAGTAAAAGTTAAAGAGAAAAAAAATTTGTTGACGACTTTAGTATTTGTGCTACTACCCATGTTTTATAAAAACAATACAAATATTTGTTATTAAATTATAATTTACGTACTAATTATCTTTATCCGCAAACGTCACAAAAGTAGTTACTTTTAGAACTAAATGTCACAAGTAAAAGTTTTACATCTTAGCCATTGAGTAACAATTTTATTTTTCGCCTACGCTTTCTACTTTTACCATAACATTTACCAATTTTGTTTATTTTGCTGATTCAGCAATTTCTGCAGTACATAGATCATCACCATTCGACCTTTTGCACTACTACTTTTACTAGTTAAATTAATAAACTTTTGAAAATCTCAACACAAATTATAGTTTTGCTATTTACTCTTGACCTGAATACGTTTGCGGATAAAATAGTATATGTTTTTTGGAGTAAAAGTGAGTTTATGTGGCTCAGCTGAATTATTTGCCTCACTTTTACTCTTAATACAATAATATATTATTCTAGCGAAGCTTAGATATTTTTTAATGTTTATTATGCACTTTTTTTATGAGCAAAAATAACGAAATTTATTTAGTTTTCAAAGTGCGAATCGCATAAAAATGATTTATTTGAAAATTTGTTGGCCCGCCATATGTTCGCAGGAAGTTGTCCGCCTTATCTTCAATTTGTTCATCGAACAGTGAAACGCAACAATCTGTCATCCAGAGGCAGGCACACCGAATAAATCCTTTCGAATTACAGTTCGACTTCTCGTTGGGATCGCATGTGGCCCTAAATAGCGTGTTTGCACAATGTTTGTTGAAAAAATCCGTCTGATCGTGCGATAACCGTAATGACGTTCACATTTATAAATATCCCCCCAAGTCAGTTTTTATTTGCACTAGAGATAAACCCATTGTTTAGACTTTAACAAATGTCCTTTAATTGTGTGGCGAAATACGGCTCTATTTCGACCGAGTTGGCACAGATGCCACGTATTATCAGCACCAGACAAATCGCTATTTCTAACGCCAACAATCCGTTTACCGGTTGGAGTCCGGAAACGCTCTCTTCACGAACGTCTTCCGTCACTTCAGCTCTCTTTAAGTGTTTTAATGACGTGCTTCATTTCATCCTACCGTTTCGCTTTGTTAAATTTCGCGGATAAATCGAAATGGGATTGTAAATCGGACTTTGACGTAATCGGAGAACTGCTTTTTGCGAGTGGATTGTTTGTGTTAAAAGGATTTGACGAACTGGAAAAGGGAGCAAGGTTTCGAGTTGATAATAAAACAAACAAATTTAGAAGATACTGACGAGAATCCAAGTTTTGGCTAAAAGAACTGATGGCAAATTCTCTAGCGATATTTATACACTTTGTATAGATCTTAGCTAAATAAATTCTCTAAGGGAAAATTTACTTTGCAAATGAGAGTTTAACTAAAATACGGTCTTACGGAAGATAAATGAAGCCACAATTAACATACTTGAAAGAACTTGATTTTTTTCTTTTGAAAAGTACTGAAACAACGGAAAAGCAAATTGTTTATAAAAATTCGGTTTTGTAAATCCTATATGGAAATAATTTTGTTTGGAACTGCATCTAAAAGCGGCGCCTTCCTCTAAATTGTTTGCTTCCTGTAATTCCAACGCTTGAAAGCAAAGTTGTTACCACGTTTCCGTCTCTAAATAATCAACTCGACTTAATGACAAAAATAAACATACAAGGATCTGCATTATGATATATTGTTACTTTTACAAAAAAATCTGTATTTAATTATACGACTTGTTGATATTCTCGAAATTTATGATTACCACATTACGGTTTTTATACCTTGAGCGGTAAAAATAATTAGATTTATTTTTATAGCACCACATATAAAAAGTAGTATACCTTGATTTTAAAATTTATACTCATCATAAACTACTATTTTTATTTTTAACACAGTCAATAAAAAAGTAATATTTAATCATGGCGTGTAATGCAAATGAAACATTGTGTAACAAGAGAAACACGCACGCAGTAATATACTCGTACCAAGTAAAATCGGATTTTTAAGTAATGCGGCACTACATAAATCAATTATTTTTGTTATTTTGTCAAGGCAAAATCGATAATTTTGATTAAACTCAAACATGTCCTTTTTTTCTTCTAGGATTGGTTTATTAGTCGCTTCTGACTTCAAAGGGCTTTCCGTAGTCGCAATTTTATTTTTTTTTATTCTACCTACAAGTACGTATCTGCTTTGTTGTGGTCGAAACTATTAATCTGTATTATAGTTCAGCCATCTAATAAATTTAACTATAAAAAAATCACTGTATGTAAATTACGTTAAATTTTATTTTATTTAACAAAATGTTTGTGCGATATATCCAGTGAATTGTTAGAACAAAACATTTTACATTTGTCAAGTGTCGCTTACAGGATAGCTAAAGCGCATCAGGGCTTAACAGGTGTCAACATCTATGCATTAATTAAAACAGATTTCCGCGTTAAACAGAGTTTACATATGTAATTTAAATTGCATTTAAAAATATGCACTATTTTTCAACTACATCTCAGAAAAAATACAGTTATAAAAATATCATCTCAGAAAATAAAACATCTCAAGAAATACAGTTTAGGGAAGCAACAAAGCTATGAAGTGTTAACTAAATCAACCTGCTTCACAATAGGGTTGTCCCTTTTGAACAATAACTATTGTTGTCGATGTGAGACACTGGGACTTATCTTGTTTACAACTTGGTTTTGCTACATCTATTATCATATTAAAGTCAAATATGTCATAAAATAAAAAGGTTCTTGCTGCAATTCGGCGTAACGCTTGAAATGTAGGACACAGTAACAAAAAATTGTACGAGTTTTAAAATAAATACCTTCAAATGAGTACTTAATATTTAAAATAAAGAAAAAACTAAAAAAAAAACAGGTTATTTGTATTTACTACCACAGTTTACTCAAACTTATTTGTCAAATTTTACATAATTAATTTAATATAATTTTTTCGCGATTGGGTTCTATTTGATTGTATGTTTCCAAAACAGTAGACTATAATTTGTTACTCGTTACTAATCCAAACTCGTCGGTAAGTATACAAAGTCGTCGCCAAAGTATTTTTGGCGTTCTAAAACGGTAAGTAAATCTGTTAGATAGATAATTTATTAAAAAAATCAACAAAAGTCAATCGCGCAAAAATGTCATAAGCATCACAAACGTTGAGACGTCCCTTCGCTCCTCCTCCAAACAATTGTCTCCGATCGATAAAATATCCCTTCCGTTCTTAATGCTTAATATACTGTTAACATATTTAATACAGATAAAGATCTTTTCCAATTATTTGTTTAAATATAATGTTACACTTTTAATTATAAGACGCTTGACATCTTCTTTGTGTTTGTAATTATCTCACTGTTATTACTTATTACGGCTTTTCGGTAAGAATTTTACTCATTATTTAAGAAATATGGTTTTCTTGTAAGTATGTTTTTAGAATATTAAATAATTTTGTTTATTAATGGTTTGTATTGTGAATGAATAAAAAATATTTAGATTTAAATCACTATTTAGCACTCTTTTCTAATCCTGCATCCTGTACTTCAGAAATATCATTTTTAAACCTTTTGGGATTACACCCAGAGAAACCCACTTATATCTTGCTTCCAGTCCGAACACTTTCCGTGATTAACAAGTTTTGTTGGTGAAATCCGTTTGGTAGCAACATTTTTGTACGGAATTTTCTCCCTTGTCGACAAAATAGAATATAGTATATTGTTATGACGAAGCTCGACACTCGCGAGATTCCTGAATAAAATATTGATTCTAGCTCCAATAGAATACCGGCATTAATAATTTGCTGCAGCTTTGTCTCTCCGGAACAAGACCCACAACATTGCACAAGGGAAAAATTATAAACTATTACTACTTGGGTGGACGTGTCGAACTGCACAGGTGCTTGAGTTGCTCAAAAATGCAAATATTTCACCAAAATACGTTTCATTATACTCGAAAATCCACTTTATCTTGAAGTTTTCATTATTCGGGCTAAATTTATGTGCAATAACCTCCCTCACCTGTCGGTATATTTTATAAAAATTCCATCGCATGTCAGAAGATATCGTAAGTTTGTGGTGAGTGGGTATTTGTGTTTCCGCCCGTATTATATTGAGTTTTACATGAATATTCAAAAGGTATTTGACGAATGAGACGGCGGCGGCGCCTATATCAAAAAACTGATCACAGGACTCCCAAATTGATTTTGACAGAATTCTTCTACCATGTTGATGTTTATATACTTACAAACTACAAATAGATTAATAACTAAACTTAATTTAAACAAAAATAAAAAAATATATTTTACTACTAAAATGTTGATTACGTTTTTGACAAATTTACTTAAGTGGAAAAAGCATTTAAATGGAAATAGTGTGTAATGTGTCATTTTGAAGATAGAGTGCATTTTCAAAGTCTCTAGAGATATAATCTCTGCTGCTGTTAGAGAGCAAAAAGTATGAAGGTATTATAATAGAGGTGTGTGAGAACTCGCGTCCCAGAGCAAAGTTTCAAGTAAGATAAATACCAGGAGCATGAAAAAAATGTTTAAAAAATTCATTTTTAGACATTTATTTATGTCTATTTAATGATACAAAGTGTCCAGAAATTATTACAAAAAGGTTAACACGAGAAATCAGGCTTAAATCATATTGTATTCGCCACTTTTCTTTTGATTCAAAAAAGTGTTCTCTTTTACACTATTCAAATATGTTATTACGAAATGATGATTAAATTGGGGGCGGTCATAA